AGTGACGCTGGCAGGTATTGTCGTCTTCCCGAAGAAGTCGCAAATCTTGTCGATTGCTGCCGTTTTTTCCGCGCCCTTGCCCTGCCCGTTGCCTCCCCTCTTCCGCCGCCGCCCCAATTTTTCATTTGTGGTTGGTGGGTCGGGCAAAATAACGCCCCCACACACACTGCCGATGTAAACCGCTGTGTGTCCCGCACTGCGGTGTGTGCTCCCACCGCTGCGATCATTCACTGCTTGGCGGTCCTACCCTGCTGTCCCTCACTGCTGTGTCGAACACCTACCATTCTTGATCGAACCTAGCCAATCAACACCAAAAACAAATCGACACCATATTCTGCCGTTGCTGCTGCTGCTGTTCAAACCACTCCGACATATCCGGGGTGCACCGCAGCAGCAGCACAGCTGTGCTGGGTCTCTACCGATCGTGGGCGATCACGCAGACAGCCGTCACGATGCTTTTGTGATCAGTCCTGTAGCGAGTGCGCGATTCTCACACAGCTCCCCATATTCCTTGTCCCACACACTGACTGCTACATTCTGGTGGTGGTGGTGTGCACGCGTGCACACGCTGTCCTTGTTTCAAAACGTGTTCATTTTTTCTTCGGACGAAACAACAGCAGCAGCACCACTCCCAGACAACAAGCTCACACACCATCGCTTTGTGTGTCCGAAGTACTGCCCTATGTGCTCCCACATGCGCTCCCACACACACTGGGGTGTCGACCAGCAGTGGAAGAACGGAGCAGCGAAATACATATCAGACCGCCAGCAATCAACCATCATCATGCAAGAATTCTGTTACTGCACTTGCTGTTTGTTGCCTCTTGCTACTGTGCAACCACGGCATTCGAGTGCCGCCCCGATTCCCTGACAGAGGGGACAGCAGTGAGTGGAAGCACACGGCAGAACGGAGCAGCAGCGGGATAAATATCAACCAGCATCAAACATCAGCAACAAAAACACCCGCTGCTGCTGCGTGTATTATGAACAGATGACATCTTTTCGTCGGTCTCACACACTCATTTGCCACACGGTATAGAATCAGCTGCGTCGGACACATACATAGCATCGCACTGCTATCCTGCCGCACGTGGTTATCACACCCACGTACGTATACGAGAAACAGCTTCAAATGCGTATTATAAACAAGGCGTCCCTCCGGAGTGGGGTAAAGAGAGCACCGCGGCAGGCGTGATGCAAGAAGGTGCAAAAAGCAAACGCATACATATGATAGTTAGACAGAGTATGCACTGTTCGTTCCTTCCACACTCCGCATTTGCCGTTTTTCTGATGCTGCGTCTCCCACCGCCGCGGATTCCAGGCCGCCGAACGACTTTAAATTAATCAGAGCCGTATTGTCGCCCAGGAAACGCACACACACCCTCGCCACAGGCGGGCGGAGAATGTTGTAGATATTCGCGCGTTTAGCATGCAAACGTATGTTGTAGGGCCGTGACCGTGGCATCATGGTGTGGGTCGCACATTCCGGAGAAAAGAAGAGGCCACATGGACGTGGATGTGTCTTTTGTAAAGGTGGGACGGATCGAATGAATTCACAGACAGGAGCACGCGTGTGTGTGTTTTTTTTTTTTCATTCATTTTCAAATATTCAAAGAAAGATTGGTACACGTAAGCAGACACAGTCAAACTATCACGCAGTACGTACATAACACGGATGCACGTACTGTGCATCCACCACGACGTGGGGGAGTACACCCTACTCATTGTCGTGCATGCCGTAGTCGTTCGACCATTGACCTCGCATCCCCACAAAGCCGGGACGGGTCACGCACTCCGGGTTCTCACCGGACCAGGCTCTCACATCACTAAGCGCGAAGCGCCGTGAGGTATTCGGCGGGTCGCATGAAGGGTGCGCTGCATGCTATGGTTGTTCGGCATCTTGTGCTTACTTCCTTGCGTACGGATGAAAGCCGCCTATGACTTAATATATTTTCCGGTGCTTTTACTTCCATAGACAGTTGTAAGCACTGTGTAACTGCCTCGAGGGTGCTTGGCCAATTCCACTTAACGTCGGGCGATCATTTCCTCTGCGCGGAGTGAGGGTTCTCCACCCCGCACAACATAATCTTGTCGACCACCATTAAGGTTACCGCAAAAAACAACAGAGGTAAAAAAAAGGNGTCGTTAGACCATTGACCTCGCATCCCTACAAAGCCGGGACGGAGCACGATCCCGATGGCAAACACCGGGG